GACTTGGCTTAGAGTTTCATTTGGCAAAAAATCTTAGAAATGAGAAAACATAGGGAGGGAACATAGGGCTGACCCCCACAAATAAAATGGATAGTTCACCAAAGCACACTTCTGTGTTTAGAAAGATGTTTGTGTCTCAATGCTAACACAAATGCTTATTTTGAGGAATGATAAATATTAAAACAATGACACAAAAAGTATTTTACATATACAAATAATTAGGTAGTCTTTATTTTAATTAAAATATTTTAAATAATTTTATTTTAAATAAATTAATTAAAGAATTTTAATATGCTGCTTATTTTATATTTTATGGTCTTAATAAAAGTTCCAGATGACTGCAAAACAAACACACTACAGAAGTGTCCATGTGTGTGCTGGTGACGGGCCTGGTGCCGCGCTCCAGGCGGGCTGGAGCAGACGTGCAGCAGCTGTCGGAGCGTGTGGCCCATGTTGACACAGCAGAGCGGGCAGACACACAGAGCTTCAGTTTACAGCCCCAGTGTGACCTTCACCTGGGGCCAGCGTGCTTTTACACACCACTAATGGCATACTTGGACCAGGTCGTGGGCAGGGGAACGCACGACGGTCAGTATGGTCCAGTTTTGTGTGTCAGATGTGGTGACAGGCCTATGGAGAAGCCATAGCACGTTTACAAGCCTGATATGATGTGCCAGAAAATCAAAAACTACTTCACTGAATAACCTGAAAGCAGGACATTACCAATGAACTCTTGTTAATGAGTCATATTCCAAAGAAAACAACCATAATGAATAAAGAGCATTTTTAGTTGGTTAACATAACAAATTAAAGAGCCAATGTTTTACCAGGTATTTGCACAAACTCACTCCACAGAACAGATATACTGTGTAATACTGTTTATCAAAATAAGCCATGTGTGCTGTACATCCAGTTAGAAAACATGGCACTGTCCAGCTATCAGGAAGTGTGTGTAGGAATGCTAGTTATTAATTTCACTGTAAACCTGGAGTGACAGTGGCTCAGTGGTTAGTGCAGTGGTCCCTCAAACTGAAGGGCGGAGGATAGATTCCTAAAATAAGGTTTTATTTGTCATAGATATACAAAATTTGGTACCCACATTTGTGACATGGTCTCAATTAAAAAACTCGATGACGCCCATACCACATTTACACTGTGTTGCCACGGCGACAAGGCAAAACTGTCCTTGCCAATGGGACACTTACACAAACTTTGGCATAGCCAAATCAAATTTGGTCGCCAGATGCATAATGGCAATAGGAACAAAAATGTATATTGTGACCACGCCCCTTTACAAACTTTAAAAACAATCTTGGATTTAAAAAAATAAACACATGCAAAATTTTTGAAAAATGACAGGGTTAGTTTAAGAGTTAAGGTTAAGAGTTAAGAGTTATTAGGGTTAGTGCGGGCCACGGCGTTTGTGGAGTGCGGCGTTTGCGGGGTGCCCGATCATTGTCGGTTGTGGCTATATTTATTATTAATCTCATAAAGGTGAATAATTACGATACTCTGAATGCATAAAGTAAGTGAGGAATAACTTTAGACCACTGCAAATTATTTAAAATGAACTAGTTTTCATTTTCAACTTAAGTCAAAAGGTCCAATATTACACAAAATGAACTCTTCATCAAAAACAGACCTGGAGTTGTTTTGTTCCATTCACACATGTTTAACGCACAAATCCTGCATAGTTCAGCCTTGGAATTGATAATCACTACTGAACAAAAGGTAAAAAGGAGCTGTTAACTTGAAAACTACCGTGGAACAGAGCACTTGAGCTTTGAGATGTAGACTAATAATAAAGTGTTACTCAAACATGTGAAGGAAACAAAACACAACTCTCTTTTTGAGGAGGGAACAACATTCAAACATGGCTTAAAGCTCACAAGAGTCAATTTTGCATAATATCAGACCTTTAACTTTTGTTACTGGTTTGTCAGAGAACACACAGACATTAGAATTAGACAATAGACAATAATTTAAAAAGATATTGCACTTGCGTCTGCTATATAGTTATAATCTATGACATCCGTGGATAATTTGTGGATAAATCTCAATATTGATCTAAAACCATGTGATGCCCAATGACCAGCACAACAAAGATAACTGCACATCACACTTGCGAGTAGCAGATTATTTTTCATCTGTACCAAAATGGCTACGAGACACTGGCAAATCTTATGCCCATCACCAAATACGAAAATAAAACTGGAGTACAAAGTAAGTATAAAACCGTAAAGATTTATCAAACATGTATGAATCACTCCAAATAAGACCTCGAGAGAGTAAATGGTAAGGGGAAACAAGTATAACAAATTCAATTTTTGTAGATTAGGTCATCTTAAAGAGTCACAATAGTGAATCTTTGACATTAAAATTTTAAACTGCGTTCTCCTACTTCAGACAAGAATGCAAACACTTTCTATGATTAACATTCTTAGCTTAATTCCAATACACAGACAGTTTAGCATCCCAAAATATAGCACATCATTTCCAAAAGGATTCCATCTCTTGAGTCTATTCTGATCCCAAGAGTGCATTACCAAATGGTGAGGCCCCTCTATAGCCCCTCTATAGGTTGCCCATGTCTGCCTCTGAGCACAGGCATATGGTGGGCACGAGCCAGGCATTCTCCAGGGAGCAGCTCAGGCCCCAGCCCTTTGAAAGTGATAGGGGGCTGTCACATCTCACACTGGAGCCATCATAAGCCCAACAAAAGCTTTATGCAACAATGTGAGCAACTGTCACCGCACATGCGCCACTAATCCAAGAGTGATCAGGACGCTGTGCAGCACCCAAACTCACCGGGGACTTGGGATGGGCATGGCCATAAAGGAGAAGTTATGACAAGAATTCATTTGCAGTGGTTTCATTAAATATAATTGTATAGACATATGCAGGCCACACAGCAGTGTTATCACCATACTAACATTTCAAACTCCATTCTGAGGAATAAACTGAATACCGATTCCAGTATTTTATTGTTTTGAAAATGCTATATATTCAACAAAAACAACATATTTAATGAATTTCAGTTTCATTTTTGATGCACTTGGTCCTAAGCCATCTTGCGCTAAGTCATCCCCCCCTTCAGAGCACCATCAACATAATCAGCATGCTTTCGGCTAAAGAAACTCCTGCACATCGCATCAGGTTTGTGAAGTCGTAGAGTATCGTTTTGTATCATGTTTTTGTATATTTATGGATATTTATTTGTGGGAGCATGGGTGATGTAGGGCTGTGGGCTGAGCTTCGAACAGGACCTGGGAGAGATCACTAGATTACTCAAACATGCATGAATGAAATCTGAAACATCTTCATGCATGTTTTTGATGAGGGAACAAGTACACAAGTATATCATCTTTGTAAATTTTGGAGTAAGAACGGTAATCAGCACTAGGGATATTGTGCTTTGGCAGTCTACCAGTTTCACTACACCATGTGAAAGAAGCTGTTTAAAAACGACACACATAGCTAAAACCTTTATAAAAGAAACAAGATTGCTGATTTCCATGTTGGAAAAATGCTCCCAATGGGTGCTTCCCGTTTAAATGGGAAATGGTGTAAATGTCGTCCTGTGGATAACTGCACATCACCCAAGCAAGCAGCAGACTGCAGCCAAAATGGCAACATAACACTGATAAATACCACATCTATCACCGATTTTAAGAAGTAAATAGGAGAACAAAGTAAGAACAGAGCAATGACGTCTTGAGTACAGGTGAGGTATTTGAATACAAAAATCACAACAGAATACACAAGATAAAGCTCATTTCACGTCTATGTCAGGGGAAAGGAATTCAAACACAGCATAAAGAGATAGGGCAGCTTGGGGAGTTTGAACACACTAGTTATTAGCATAGGGAGGAGGACTGGTCAGTAATTTGTCATTTGACATTTGTTTTGTCTGTCAAAAAAATCCTATTCATAATTTAGAGCCAAGCTCCAAATTTGCTCCTGTAACCATCACTGGCTTCATTTGGGTGGTGCTGAACACTATGGGTGACGTTACGCTCCCTTTTTTTTTTTTTTTTTTTTTTACAGTCGATGGTCATGAGTTTAGACAATATGTGGGTTATGACTTTCTGAAATGACAAAAAAAAATTGAACTTTTTCATGATGATGATTTGTCATGACTTTTTTTTTTGAGTATGACCCATATGTACCTCAGATAAAACTCCTGATCTAGAGCAATGCAATTCATCTATCAGTCCCAATAAGGACGGCACGTGTCTAACGTGCTCTAAATGAGGACATAAGCAGGACTTGTGCTTAGGCCTGCCACAATAATTACTATATCGGCTCATTGAATACATGAAAACTGAAACAACAGGGGTTCCTTCAAGCTCAAAAAACACCCCTCTCTGTTACTGCTGCTGTGACACTCGTCTCTACATGATCCTGGTCAATGTTTCCCACAGAAAACTGGTTAGTCAAGGCGGTGGAGGAGGTGCTCGGAGATACCATGCACAAAAAAGAAGTGAGGAGCAGGGGGGTGTACCGAGATTCCGTGTGATGACAGTAGTTTTGCAAGGATTCACATGGTTCAAAGGGATGTAGTCAAGGTGGCCACCTTAACTATAAAGTGCTGTGGAAAACACTGCTGGTGTTTTCATTACGTAATGTTGTCCCTAAATCAATTAATTAAAATTAATGACAAATCAGGCCCCCTTTTCCTCAAGGTCGCTCCTGCTAGTGTTGGCAACAAGTTGCTTCATAACCAAGTTGCTAAGCACCCGCCCTCTCTTAAACAAGCAGTCACAACATGTCACTTCAAACCATCTTTGAAGCCTCGATGAGCTTCATTTGGTTGCAACAGAACACTATGGGTGACGTCACACTCACTTCTATTATACAGTCTATGAGGCATAAAGTATTTTAAAAATTATCATTTATCTTAGTACTTCTCTGTAGCAATATGTCATGTTTCAAAATGTGTTATCGTGACAAGTCAAGCGCTCTCACCTGTCCCATGCATGTCTCACAGAAAGGATATGGTTAGGGGGCAGGAAGTTCCAGCTGAGCACCTGATTGGCTAGAGCCAGATAGCGCTGGAACACAGACGACATGTGTGCACTGAGGTTCTCTCTACGGCTAAACTCCTGTAGCACCTCCATGGTCATGACGAAGATCTGACGAAGAGCCTCCTCCTGCCAGATACAAAGTGGCACATAAATCAGAGGAGAGAAGAGAAGTGAGAGAAGAGAGCCAGTGCTACAGCATACACAAGCACCCAACAAGTCCACCCAGAGAAGGCCACAGGGGCAGAATCAGGGGGGTGGATGTGAGGAAGGGGTTGAATGAGTGAGTGTGGAAGTGAGTGAGTGAGTGAGTGAGTGTGGAGTAGAGGTGAGGGGATGGAGGAGACAGTGGAAGTGACTGGCTGAAGGTGCCGGCGGAGGTGAGACCTGGAAGAGACGCTTGCAGCTGCCGTGGAACTCCATGCTGAGGCCAATGCTGCTGGTCTTGCTGGAGCTGGAGAACTCGCTGAGCAGAGCCATGAGGATAGAGCAGGCCAGGGTTTGCTGCACACACAGAGGATCACTAGCACAAAACAAAAAGCTCCAAACACGAGGACCCCCTTCTCACAGTCCTCATTATTTGTAAGCAAAATTAAAATCATGATCTGTAAAGGTCCTATATTATGCAAACTGAGTCTTGAGAGCTTTAAACCATATTAGAATGTTTCAAAAACAGGCCTGGAGTTGTGTTTTGTTTCATTCTAACATCCTGAGCAATCCTTTATTATTAGTCTGTCTGCAACTTCAAAGCTCAAAGTGCTCTGTTTTACTTTGTGATGTCATGAAGTGATAGTGTTAGCGTTAATAGCTACATTTTACCTTTAGTTCAGTAGAGATGAGCAATTCCAGGGATGAAATCATCCAAATTATTTTAGTGAACAAATATGGACTTTAAAAACACAGTAGAGGATTTCCTGCACTGCCACATGACAAGGAGGAAAATGGTGTTTTCAGTTTGAGAGAAGAACTCTAAATATGCAGGGTTTGTTCTTTCTGTAATCTCTGGGCAAAAATGACTTTGTTGCAAATAAAAAATACAACATAAAATGTTGGAATGTATTGATTTACAATTGTATATTTAATTTAATAACATAATACACACATTCCAATTTCATTTATTCTTGTATTTAGTTATTTCCAGACTGCAGTCGATTAAAGAAATTCTTGTTGGACGTGCTGGCAAAAGCTCTCAAAACAATTCTGTATCTGTGTATCTGACCCAAATGGTACTTATAAGACTACACCTGCAGGAACCTGCAAAAACTACTACATATATATGCAGAAAATGTGGAATCTTAACAGCAGTATATGAGCAGACCACTGGGGCAGCAGTGAACACAACGGACTTGTAAAAAAAAAGTGAAAAACAAATAAATGCTTTTATCGCTTTGTTTTCTTTGCCGTTTTCCAACAGTTGTGATCTAAAAACTGCCCAAACTGTTCGGGTTTTTGTTGTTCTATTTCACAAGATTGGTCAACTCTACAACTGGCTTTGTGTGCCCTCTGGAGGTTGTTTAAGAGAACACAATCTTGACATTATCAACATTTGAAGTTATATTTAAAGAGATTAGCAGTTTCTGTGCTTGGAACGCACAGATCTGTTTATGCACAAAAGTGGAGCAGAAATGAGGCTTGAACAGGATGGATCCACAGCCCTGACCACCTGTGTCTGTCGGAGATACACGGATATAGATAAGAACATGCTCACGGCTGCAGGGTTTCCACTGCTGATCAGCTGGCCCACTTCATGAAGAAGACTTTTGCAGCTGATGGACTTGTCCAGAGAGCCCCTCTTTACGATGACCGCCACAGCCAACAGGATCTGTTCACGAACGTACTTCTGCAGACTGAAGGGCACAGGGTAAGATGGTCAGACTGAAGGGCACAGGGCAAGGGTCAGACTGAAGGGCACAGGGTAAGGGTCAGACTGAAGGTAATATGAATAAGAATAAGCAGACATAAGGGTCAGACTTCAGACTGAAGGGCACAGAAGGTCAGACTTCAGACTGAAGGGCATTAAAAACTGAATTGCCTCATTAGATTAGATAATACAAATACCTGGATAAACCCAAGTTTATAATAAGAATGAAGATAAAAGCCTTTAGGGCCATCACAGACTCAGAAGTTTTATTTTTATAATGACATGTGGGAGGATCTGCACATAATGTTTACATTTATAGAAACGATTAAAGCCATGTGACTAATCTGCATAAACGCCACTCTACAGACCACTGCAGACACACTGAAGGACATCATTTGGTGGAATATTTGTTGGTACAGAGAACAGAACAGAACAGAAGACAGAATAGAGGACAAAGCAGAGGACAGAGCAGAGAGGACAAAGCAGAGGACAGACCAGAGGACAGACCAGAGAGGACAGACCAGAGAGGACAGAGCCAGAGAGGACAGAGCAGAGAGGACAGAGCAGAGAGGACAGAGCAGAGGACAGAGCAGAGGACAGAGCAGAGGACAGAGCAGAGAGGACAGAGCAGAGACAGAGCAGAGGACAGAGCAGAGAGGACAGAGCAGAGGACAGAGCAGAGAGGACAGAGCAGAGAGGACAGAGCAGAGAGAGACAGAGCAGAGAGGACAGAGCAGAGAGGAGCAGAGCAGGACAGAGCAGACAGAGCAGAGAGAGCAGAGCAGAGAGACAGAGCAGAGAGAGCAGAGCAGAGAGACAGAGCAGAGAGGACAGAGCAGAGGACAGAGCAGAGAGGACAGAGCAGAGAGGACAGAGCAGAGAGGACAGAGCAGAGGACAGAGCAGAGGACAGAGCAGAGGACAGAGCAGAGAGAGACAGAGCAGAGGACAGAGCAGAGAGGACAGAGCAGAGAGGACAGAGCAGAGAGGACAGAGCAGAGAGACAGAGCAGAGCAGAGCAGAGGACAGAGCAGAGGACAGAGCAGAGAGGACAGAGCAGATGACAGAGCAGAGAGGACAGAGCAGATGACAGAGCAGAGAGGACAGAGCAGATGACAGAGCAGAGGACAGAGCAGAGACAGAGCAGAGAGGACAGAGCAGAGGACAGAGCAGAGGACAGAGCAGAGGACAGAGCAGAGAGGACAGAGCTGATAGTAAGTGTGGAGAGTATATTTCTTGTATTGTGTGCTGGGACTTAGCATAAGGAGCTGTTGGTGTTGGTTCATGTTTACAGATCATACAGTCTGTGAGCTTTACTGAAGAGCTTTCATATTCAGCAGCAGCAGCGTCACTACACATGCTGAAATGTGCTTTAGTCTAGAGCAGTAGAGGAGAGTGACGAGCGCTTGCTTTAGTCCTATTTGTGGGTGTTGTAGTTTTATACTAAAACGGTAGTTTCTCCAGTTGTCTTCTCCAGTAGTGAGTTTCTCCAGTCTCCTCTCTGCCTACGACTCTCATGGTTAACCCTGTGACGGTGTGTGTGTGTGTGTGTGTCACATACTTCGGCCTCTGGAGGACATAGGTGAGGAGGAAGGTGCGCAGAGACTCAATGCTGCTCTTCTCCAGGAGGATCCACTCCCGGACCACTGCCTCCATGATGGCTGTGGCCGCTTGGAACAGCACGTAGTCCACTTTACTGCTCTCTGCCCGGGGAAAGGGACAATACTTTAAATAAGATAATTATTTTATTGCACTTTATCATGTTATATAGTTAACACTCATCAAAAACATGCCCGAAGAGGTTTTAGAGTCATGCATGTCTGAGTAATCTAGTGATCTCTCCTGGGCCCTATTCAAACTTTCCTTACGGTTAACTGTACAATTCTGCCCATAAACAGACTATATTAATTATTTTAATAATGTGGTGATATTCTATCAGAACTCTACGATTACAAGTGTATATCTCACGTAGTACTTCTTTCCTCAGCCTCACACCCACATTTGTGTCATACTTACATTATAAACTTGTTAGTGTGACTGCAATCCCTTTTTAATGTGAGATGTGTTTTCCTACAAAAAAATATCTCCAAACTCATATAATTCAGTTGAAACAATTTAAAGCTTAACAAAGTTCATTTTGGGATATTTTTATATATAAATAAGTATATTTATTTTATTTTTCAAATGTAGAGATTGTAGAACAGCTGGATATAAAGTTTATTTTGGAGGTTAGTACCTAGAATCTGTTTGCACACTGCAAACGGTGACTTGGACTTCCTGAAGGCCAAGAAGACGTGCTCTGCGTGCTGCCTCTGTTCTGAGCTGACCATCGAGGGAGGAGCCTGAGAAGAAAAGGTACTATTAGACAGTTATGGAGGAAAACTATTAATTCTCACACTGGGAGTATACTACGTATGTTTATGGTGGAATATTCAGCAGTTACAAATGTGACACAACAATGCCACACATTAGCAAAAAGTCCAGATAAAGCGTTCAAGAAAAAACACAAAAAGGATTTAAACAGCACATTTTCAGGAGCATGAGATCAATACAAGCTTTCATTTAATCTTCAACAAAAGGGTGAGTGACCAACTGAAAAACAGGTTGCTAATACTAGTTAGCTTGAGACTGTCACTGTATGTGTGAGAGACTTATTTAAGAGCACAAACCAGGTCACCTGTTCTAGTTCCAAATGTACCATAGTTCTGGTCAGATTGTTTTAAAATAAAAAAAGTCTAACAAGCCTCAGTTAGAGCAGTGTTTGCAGTTAGCATCACACCCCCAGGGAATGATTATGACATCAGCTGCAAAATATCAATAAATGATACACAAGACACTATGAAAAGAAACTCAAAGGAGGGTTAGTACACATACAGGAACTATCGGAAGCAAATGACTTGAATGGACACCAGCAGCAAGAGGAGAGAACTCATGTGTTAATACATTACATGCAGAAGAGGAAATGTGCATGACTGACACAGGGGACAAACCCAAAACATGCACCATAGCTCAAATCCTCAAGCTCAAGTCCAAGACTAGCTCAAGACCTGAGTCCCTGAGTGCTGTGCTGCAGTCGTCACTGCTCCTGACAGACTAGAAGCGCAGGTCAAATGCAGAGAGACAATTTCCTTCATAAGGATTAATACAGTCTACATGAGCTTACACTTAAAATAAAGTCTATACAAATGTGACGACCGAGGCCCACAGGCTGTGCCCATGCCCCCGCAGGCTGTGCCCATACCCCTGAAAGATGTGCCCATACCCCCGCAGGCTGTACCCATACCCCTGAAAGATGTGCCCATACCCCCGCAGGCTGTACCCATACCCCTGAAAGATGTGCCCATACCCCTGAAAGATGTACCCATACCCCCGCAGGCTGTACCCATACCCCTGAAAGATGTACCCATACCCCTGTAGGCTGTGCCCATACCCCTGAAAGATGTGCCCACACCCCTGAAAGATGTGCCCACACCCCTGTAGGCTGTGCCCACACCCCTGAAAGATGTGCCCACACCCCTGAAAGATGTGCCCACACCCCTGTAGGCTTGTGTAGGCCGTGGGGTTCCGAGCCTGTGTGGGGAACGGAGGAGCACTGGGCTGTTGAGATTGGAACCTTTAGAAAAGCCACATTTGCCCGTGCCTCGGGTAAGTGCACCTCTCGTGAAAGCTTCAGGACGTGGATGAGCGGTGGAGGCTGCGCGCGGGCGTGGGACATGTGGACTGTGACAATGATCGCGTGTGTGAGGGGTTAGTGAAGGATGCACACAGACCGGGACTGCGCCATGCTTCAGCCGCAATCCCCTCGCGTTTCCCCGGTCACAGAGCACCACTGCCCAGGACAAACCCCGAGCCCCGCACGGGCCGCTCCGCGTGCGTCCTGCCGCATACAGCCGTACACAGCCCCACGAACACTCACCATTAAAACTTTGGCAGCGCTTTCCAGCTGTGCGAGCACTTCTGATGCACCGACCGCCGCCATCATGGTCCCTCTCCAATGACGCGCCACCCGCACTGCATTCTGGGATAGCGCGGCCGTACGCGCTGCTAGAGCGCTGAGCGCAGGAGCAGGAGCAGGGGCAGGGGCAGGGCAGCAGGAGCAGGGGCAGGGGAAGGAGCTGGGGCAGGAGTAGGGGCAGGAGCTGGGGCAGGAGCAGGAATAGGGGCAGGAGCAGGGCAGGAGCAGGGGCAGGAGTAGGAGCAGGGGGCAGGAGCTGGGGCAGGAGCAGAAGCAGGGGCAGGAGAAGGAGCTGGGGCAGGAGTAGGAGCTGGGGCAGGAGAAGGAGCTGGGGCAGGAGTAGGAGCTGGGGCAGGAGAAGGAGCAGGAGTAGGAGCTGGGGCAGGAGTAGGAGCTGGGGCAGGAGCAGAAGCAGGGGCAGGAGAAGGAGCTGGGGCAGGAGAAGGAGTAGGAGCTGGGGCAGGAGAAGGAGTAGGAGCTGGGGCAGGAGTAGGAGCTGGGGCAGGAGCAGAAGCAGGAGAAGGAGCTGGGGCAGGAGCAGGAGTAGGAGCTGGGGCAGGAGAAGGAGCTGGGCAGGAGCAGGAGTAGGAGCTGGGGCAGGAGAAGGAGCTGGGCAGGAGAAGGAGCTGGGCAGGAGCAGGAGTAGGAGCTGGGGCAGGAGAAGGAGCTGGGGCAGGAGCAGGAGTAGGAGCTGGGGCAGGAGAAGGAGCTGGGGCAGGAGAAGGAGCTGGGGCAGGAGTAGGAGCTGGGGCAGGAGCAGGGGCATCTGAGTGAAGAGTCGGTGTCCAGTGTCATTGTGCTGACAGGACCCTAGTGACTCTGTCAGAAACATTGAGTGTACGTGCGGGTTTATACAGGTTCATAAGGGCTTATTAGTATGCGGCTTATACGGTAGTTGGTCGATCCATGTTGTCAGTGAACAACATTTACACAAACTGCTAATGGTCTTTTGCAAAGTACTGGGCTAATGACGCATACGCCTACAACACTGGCCTCTGTTTTTTATAAGCAGGTCAATCGCACCGCAGCTAGACACAAAAAATGTAGACCAAAAATAACACATAAAAGCACTGCATGTTCAGTCTTGCAGGTGCATTATGCTGAAGGGTTCGCCACCGGTTTATTTAGATTGATTTAGATTTAGATGACTTTGCCTGCAGTGTTTCACAGTATGGCATTACAATTTTTCAATCTCAAATCTCAAATGCAGATGAAGCCACCAGCCCAAGACGCAGGTTGTATAGTGTACCTTTAAACTTACAAGTATTGTATTGTATTGTATGTATATTGTATGTTATAATTTATTTATTTGCAGTCGGGGGTTAACAGTGTGCTCTATTTTGTTTTGTTTATGACTGAAACCAAAACTTTTTTGGTTCCTTTTACCTGCGTCCCCTGAGTTTATATGTGGTTTTAGACTGACATCTACTGGTCGTTTTGTGTAACTGCAGGTCTTGACTGACTCTTTGAGCTCTTACAGTTCTCTGGACTGACTGTGGAGTTTCATTCCAGTGGTGATGTGACCACAGTTTATGGGGCTGACACATTTCCACTTAAGGTTCACGGATGTTCAGACCAACCGTCTTTATGACCTCCTGCTCTTTATTTCTGATCACAGACTATAGATTTGGTTTACTGTACTGTATTGTGCTCAGGGGTGTAATTCATTACAAATACTCACATTACTGTAGTTAAGCAGATTTACTGGATAACTGTACTTTTTGGAGTATTTTATATCATAGAAGGTGAGTAGTCAATCTCTGTTCCTCCCCTCACCTCTGGTCATGAGCTCTATGTAGTGACCGAAAGGACGAGATCACAGATACAAGTGGCACAAATGAGTTTCCTCTGCAGGGTGTCTGGGCGCTCCCTGAGAGAAGAGGAGCTCAGTCACACGGGAGGAGCTCGGAGTAGAGCCGCTGCTCTTCCACATCAAGAGGAGCCAGTTGAGGTGGCTCGGGCATCTGTTCCGGATGCCTCCTGGGCGCCTCCCTCAGGAGGTGTTCTGGGCATGTCCCACGGGGAGGAGGCCCCGGGGAAGACCCAGGACACGCTGGAGGGACTATGTCTCTTGGCTGGCCTGGGAACGCCTCGGGGTCCCCCCGGAAGAGCTGGAGGACGTGTCTGGGGTGAAGGAAGTCTGGGAGTCCCTGCTTAGGCTGCTGCCCCCGCGACCCGGCCCCGGATAAGCGGACGAAAATGGATGGATGGTTTTGAGGTGGAGCTATGTGTTTCCTGCTCTCAAGAGGAGGAAACAATCGAACAGCACTTTTTCTCCTGTGGCGTGACAAAACATTTGTGGAAAAATCTAATGACTTGGTTGAAAATTAAGATGGATATAATTACTCAATTAAATTTGGAGCAAATACTAACAAATTTCCAAATGAACTATTGAGCCTTTGCAATATAATTATAATTATGGATAAATATCACATCGCCTACATAAAAGTAAATGGCGAAACAGAAATCCATCTCTTATCTTGTTTAAATCTGATTAAATCTGAACTACAGTCATATTTAGCTTTTATGTTGCTCCTAAAGGGCTATAAAAAGGACATGATGTCTCCAAATATTTGTTTAGATTTTTGTGTGTGTGTGTGTGTGTGTGTGTGTGTTTGTTAAAAAAAAAAGAGAGAAAGAGAGAGAGCTTTGTACATTTCATAATATAGAGGCTAAATGATAAATGAAAGAAAGAAAGAAAAAAAAAGTGTGCTCTGAGACTGACTGTTTTCTGTAAGTGCATTTCAGAGATCTTTATACTCCCTCATCAAACAGACCTGGAGTTTCTTTTTTCTTCATTCACACATGTTTGAGTAATCCTTTATTATTAGTCTACATCTCCAAAGCTCCAGATGCTCTGTTCCACCTTGTGATGTCATGTAGTAATAGTTTTCAGGTTTTACCGTTAGTTCAGTACAGATAAATCTAGGGCTGAATGATTCCAGTGAAGGTGTACGGAGTTTAAAAACACAGTGGCGCACTTCCTGTATGAGAGAAGAACTCCTATTAAATATGCAGGGTTGTGGAAGGACCTCTAATGGTGATGTAGGTGCAGTACAGTGACAGTAACAGTGCTGCTCAGCTCAGGGGGAGTGGACAGGAGGTCCAGCAGCTCTGATGTGTGGTGTAGAGGGAGAGGAGCACTGGAGACACTTCAGACAGAAATAGACTAAAATAAAAGCTTGTTTTTTGTTGTTGTTTTGCACTGAAAAACTTGTGAATGAATGCGCTGAAGTGTGGTTTGAACTTTCTTTTTAGGCCACATGTAATCATACATGTGCCACACCCAGAATGTGACATACTTTTTAAGTAGTAGCCTTATTTGCCTGAGCTACTGTATGGATAGGCTGTCTTGATGGAGGCAGTAGTCCTCTTGGTTGTTAGTGCAGATGGAAGAGGGCGTGTTCACAAACTGATACCATGCATGCTCTGTCCACTTTCAGTACCATATCATCTGTTTCTTGTCAAACCATTCAACCATTCAGAAAAGGTTCCGTTTTACCAGTTTATTTCAGCTATTTTTTTCATTCTATACAATTAAATAAATTAATACATGTGGATAAATTTTTACTAACTCTAATTTGTAATACTCAACACCAAAACACTCAAGTAAAATACAGCTCCTGAAAAACTACAGTAGGTTACAACATGCCATCTCCTCTGGCAACATGTTGCAACTTAAATGCAATGCATGTCACTTTGGAGGTGGCATGTCACCTGCATGATTCCATGAAACTAGAAAGTTAAAGCCATACTTCAGAACATTCTCCATGGAGAGAGATGGATTTTGTGCCATTCCGTGGAAGATTATAGCCAAAGGAGCAACATTTCTACAGAAACAAGCAGGTCCAGGCCAAATAAGAGTTTGTGGAGATCCAAACCTGCTCACAGTAAAGATGCATGATGTTTTTATCTGTTTTTCAGTGCAATAAAATAAAATAAAAAATGAAATAAACAAACGTTTATTTTAGGCTATTTTTTGGCCAAAGAAGTTCATACTGTGGCTTTTTTCACTAATTACTCAAATTTTATTTGAAAATGGACTGTGTTTTGAGTGTCTACAGTCTGTGCTGTGTTTGTCCAGTAGTTTGTCACATTGTGCTGTAGAAGTTGTTGTGTAGTAGTTGTGTAGTAGTATCATGTTTTATTTGGTGGTCCAAATATTATTAGGATATGAGGTCCACCTGGAAAACAACATTCAAGGGTGATTTTCTTGGAACCAGATACAGATTTTGATTTGATCACAGTTCGTGTAAACATACTGGCTTGAAGACATGCCTAAGGTTTCTTCTCAAAGTTCAGTTCACACTTTATTACAATGATTTAAATCTCCCTGTGGGCACAGGTGGTCAAAGTACTACATTTCATTACTCGAGTAAAAGTGGGTTTCTATTTTAGATACAAACATTGATTTTCTTTCAGTACTTGTACTTGTACACAGTGTAGTTACTTTGTCTTTCGAGTCTTTCCTCCTGTCTGACCCAGAGCCGGTCGCAGCGCACGGCCTTGGGGGAAGTGTGCTCGGGGGGCCGGGACACCCGGGGGAGAGGTCCCTTGAGGGGATCTTGTGTGCGGACCCCACCCGTTTACCTCCTGACAGTTTCACGTCCTCTTGAATGTACTTTTCAAACTTCTTTTCTTCTTTCCCACACGGTTCTTGACTACTGTTGGTCTCGTGCCGTATTTAAATAGTGGTCACTACAGTGGACAGCTATTCAATTGTTGTTTTCTCCTATATAAATGAGTCTGAATGTCATCGTTGCAGATCAGACACCACTTTGCAAGTGAAAAAAAAAAAATATCTAAAACAAGATGGCCGAGCAGATGTGCCTTACAGGTGAGGGATGTCTGTCCATTCCTTCTATTCTAGGAGACCCATGCAGGTAAAAAAAAAAAAAAAAATATATATATATATATATATATATATATATATATATATATATATATATATATATATATATATATATATATATATATATATATATATATATATATATATATATATATATATATATATATATATATATATATGTATATGCAGAGTACGGGCTGGAGACCCCAGGATCAAGGTGGGAAACCTCCAAAGGTTGTGGAGAATGACCGAGCCAAGATCCTGTGGGACTTCCAGATACAGACTGACAGAATGGTGATGGCGAACCAACCAGACATAGTGGTGGTGGATAAGAAACAGAGCAGAGCCGTGGTGGTTGACATCGCAATACCAAGCGATGGTAATATCAGGAAAAAGGAACACGAGAAGCTAGAGAAATACCAGGGGCTCAAGGAAGAGCTGGAGAGAGCCTGGAAAGTAAAGGCATCAGTGGTGCCTGTGGTGATCGGAGCACTCGGGGCTGTAACCCCCAAACTGGAAGAGTGGCTACAACAGATACCGGGAAAAAACAACGGACATCTCAGTCCAGAAAAGTGCAGTACTGGGAACAGCAAAGATACTGCGCAGAACTCTCAAGCTCCCAGGCCTCTGGTAGAGGACCCGAGCTCAATGAGGGTGAGAGAGACCTACCACCGTGGAAGGTGAGAAACACATTTTTATATATATATATATATATATATATATATATATATATATATATATATATATATATATATATATATATATATATATGTGTGTGAGGACACCAAGCAAGAACTAAGGAGCAATATAATTGTTAAAATGTCCAAGTATTGATTTTGTCATTTGAGGAAATTGTGATTAATCATGTAACAACTCAGTTGGACATTGCTAGCTATATTTAGACTACTATTTATAGTATTGCTATACTTTTTTTAATACGCTATCTGCAGCAATGTTTTAGTACAGTCTAATTAAGTCCACCCATAACAATGAACATGCCTCCCACTATGTACATTTAAAAGAATGTTTGCCATAGTTATAGGCTGATAAGTAGTGATAGGCATGTTGATTGTTATGGTTGGAGTTATTTAGACTGTACTATCAGTGCTTCAAAGAACGTCATTTTTCTCTGATTAAATGTTTTGGTAATACATTTAAAGTTTCTGGAATATGTTCAAAATATATGAACACAATGTTAAATAGCAAAAAAAACATGTTTTATAGTATTTACCATATTTCTTTTCAATAATAATTTTCTCAAATACATATTTCGTTCATTGTTCAAATGCGCATTGTCCACCCTAGAGGATACATCACCAACTCCTTGAAGAATGCATGTTTGAAAAAAAATTTAAGTGAATATATTCTTTTCATGCCCAAAGAGTAATAAAACACTTGGGAAAAAATCCTGAAGTAACCTAATATAATTCATGTATGAAAGGGTTAACCTTATCTGGAGTTTAACACCAAAATGTACCAAATGTAAAAAGTTACTCCATAGAGAGTAACTAAATAAAGGAAGGGATTACTAATTAATGATCTTGTATACGCAGCTTCTCTTCACTCCGCACAAACTCCACACTCCGCCAAATCTGTTTATGGCTGCACATCACTGATAATTCATAAAAAACAGTACTAGTTCTCATTATTTACAAAACCACACTGGAGCCTCCAGGGGTACTACAATAATCTCCTTAATATCAGCTCAACGGCCTCACTCCTCCTCACTCTTCACTGTTCCTCTGAGCTGGGACAATGTGCCTTTTCCTACAGCTCCATGCTTTTGGAATCATTCACAGAAAGACCTTAAACTGGAATCTAAGGCAGGGATGTCAAACTCAAATTCACAGAGACCAAAATTAAAAACTGTGACTAAGTCGTTGGCCAAACTAAATATTTATTGAAAATTTTCTGCAACATATTCATTTTTTCTCTTCTTTCGAGATATGTAATGTTAAACCTTTTCATATTAAAGTAATACATTAAATTAATTAATTTATTAAATAAATAAATTAAATGAATAAATGTTTAATAAGAGTTTTGCTTAAACACTGAATCACGAACAAGCATAATATAAAATAATAACAACATTTTAAATAAATAATATCTCTATAGTCTATCTGTAGCCGGCGGGCAGCTCTAATACATATTTGATATGATCTCGCGGGCCAAATATAATTATATCACAGGCCTGAGTTTGACATGTCTTATCTAAGATATGACTTGATAAGTCCAAGAAAATTGTAAAGAGTGTGGTGACTGAGACACATGTATTATTGATGTATTGTTGTGTTGGCTGCTACTTTGACATGGTCATAATGAATATAAACATTGTGGTTAGATATGTCCATACAGTCTATGATTTGGACCCAGAGGGGCTGATGTGAAGCCACTGACACAGACACAAACTTGACCCAGAGCTTATTCTGGACACGGTGCTTGCTCGTATCTGAAGAGCTGCTGCCTGTCCACAGCTCACTGTCACCTCTGTCCACTGAGAGCCTCGCAGACAGTACGACTGCTCCAGTCTGCTACACAAGCATACGTGCTCCATGTTAAAATACACATCTAAGTCTCCTAAATGTGGCATAGAAATACTACTGGACATTATTTGGGTTGTGTCCAAACAAAACATGTGATTTTTTTTATCCTGAAATGATGTTCTAATCTACTAATGAAACATGATATGGGTGAACTGAATTAATCAGCTACAACAGACAGAGGAGAGGGTGGAGCTACAGGGGAGAGGGTAGAGCTGCAGGGGAGAGGGCGGAGCTACAGGGGAGAGGGCGGAGCTGCAGGTAAGAGGGAGGAGCTACAACAGACAGGTGAGAGGGCGGAGCTATATGAGGCTTCTGCTTTGGTCCTTCTGTAACATGTTGGTGTGGAGCCCTCCTTACAGTTAACACTGAGCTGACATCCACACAGGCCTGAGGCATTCCACACTGAGCCACATCTAAATATAACTGAGCCTGAGGGGCCAGGGACTGTTCCCACTATGAACCCTCATATGTGAATGATCATGTGTGAATGATCATGTGTATTGTCAAAATACAAACATTTCAAACTCGATTTCAATAATAAGGTATGGACTCCATACTTAATACCAATTCTGATGCCACAATGATAATAAAAAAAACCTCTTTATTTAGACAGTAGAATGTGATTTCCAACATTAAGTGGTAGTACTTTCTGAGAGGTCAAACCCACTGACCCACAGGTTGATGATGTGATTCCACCTCCCACAGATGAATGCGGTTGATGGTTGATGTGTCCTTGAGCAAGCCACTTATAACACCTCGCCCCCAGTGTCTGCGTACACTGGTGAATGGGTGAGTGGTTCCTTTTAAAGCACTTTGAGTGCCTTGGAGTTGGAAAAGCGTTACATAAAAATGTGCCCATGAAATTCTCATATGGCCTTATATCTGTGTAACCCCTCATTCCCATGGCAACGGAATAGTTGGCTGCTTTTGTGGCTACCAGCCTCACACACTGAGCAGTTTTTGAAACGTTTTGTTTTTTGAGTTCAGTTTTCAACATCACATCATAGGATTTTAACCAATTAAGAAGAGCAGTTCAAAGGACACAAGCTGGAATATGTGAAATGAGCTGTTTGCTTTTTCTGTATCCATGGAGACTGTGCAAGAGGCCGGATAAGGAGACAGTTGAGATCCTACAGGTTTTTACATCATATGTGGCAGAATGTAACAGAATACCTTCAGAGGAAACACTCCAAAACCTTCCTCCAGAAGAAACACTTTGAGGAAATGAACTATTTCAACACCATCTGAAACAGCAGGCCAACACGCTTTTCCTGTTGTGTTCACCTGGCGCCTCTTAGACACTGCTGTGATGCTGCAGGACACTTTTGGCTCTTCCTCCCCTCAGACTGCTCTAGCACAGATCTGGTGACCTTACCTGACCAGTCCTCCTGTTAAAGTGCACTGAGGACCCAGACAGGCAGTGCAGAGGCAAGGCAGAGGCAGTCCCAGGGCCAGGACAATGGACAGTCCCAGTTTGTCCCCACTGTGTTGAGCCTGCCTCATCCTGCAGGATGGCGCATTCAGACAGACAGGTCATCCGGGCGCGCTCTCCCACTGCTGCCCCTGCTGGCCCGACTCAGGCGGCGCGGGTCTGTGCTCTTTGGGCTGTCCTCCGGCCTTACTGCGCCCCCTGGAGGAGGGACCCCCACACTGCATGAGGAGGGGGGCCAGTGGCTCTGCAGGTCCTTGGTCTGCTGCTCCGTGGCCAAGTTGGCCCAGTTCTGCCGAGTGGCCAGAGTGTGGTTGTTGTTGTTGCTGATGTAGAAGTGTGTGGATGGGGGCGGCTGCCCCACCAGAGGAGACAGGAAGCCCGTGCTGTTAGCTGTGATCGCTGTGTAGTTGGGGGGAAAGTTCAGACTTTGAGGGGGAGTTCTGGAGACCTCTACCCTGTCACTGTGGGTCTGTGAGGACTCCTGATCTGGAGCCAAGGCACTGGTCACCCCCTGCTTTAGCTTCTTCCAGCCCAGGTGATAGATCTCCAGCAGGTTGAGCAGCAGAGACACACAGGCCACCACCAGCATGAAGAGGATGAAGATGGTCTTCTCCGTGGGCCTGGAGATAAAGCAGTCCACTGTGTTGGGGCAGGGCCAGCGGGCACACTTGTACAGAGGCTTTAGCCTAAAGCCATACAGGAAGTACTGTCCCAAAAGGAAGCCCACCTCAAACGCTGCCTTAAAGATGATGTTGAACACGTAGGTGCGCAGTAGCGCCCCCCGTAGGCGGATCTTGCCACGCTCGTCCCTGATTGGTGGATTGTTCTTTCTGCCTCCCGCCTCTTCGTGATTGGTGAACAGCCCTTCTGCCTCCTCTGTGCACCTGTCGGCCGTGTGCAGGTTCTCCCCCCGTCGCTTCTCCTCCAGCCGGACCAGGTGCAGCACGTGGCCCAGGTAGATGAGAGTGGGCGTGGATACGAAGACAATCTGCAGCACCCAGAAGCGTAGGTGTGAGATGGGGAAGGCCTGGTCGTAGCACACATTCTCACAGCCGGGCTGCTGAGTGTTACAGGTGAAGTCAGACTGCTCATCGCCCCACACGTCCTCCGCTGCCGCCCCCAGCACCAGGATCCTGAAGATGAAGAGCACGGTGAGCCACACTTTCCCCACCACCGTGGAGTGCTCCTGGGCATTCTCCAGCAGTCGGCCCAGGAAGCTCCAGTCGCCCATGCCTCGAGAAGGGAGGGTCAGGCTGAGGGCACAGAACAGGCAGAACATCAGGGCAGAACATCAGGGCAGAACAACGCAGAGAAACACAGCCTAGCTATGGCTTTAGTTTTTAGGTATTTTATGATTGAATCAGAAATGTATAATTCTTAATAGTTATCTGTTTATTCTTTTCTACTGTTTTTCTTTTAGGGTGCACTCACTGCTCCATGTCTCTGCTCTGTGTCCCTCTGTCCTCTCTGCATCTCTGCTCTCTGTCCCCTGCCCCGGTGCTCCTGTACCCCCGTACCCCTGTACCCCATACCCCCGTACCCCTGTACCCCCGTACCCCTGTACCCCCGTACCCCCGTACCCCCGTACCCTGTACCCCTGTACCCCCGTACCCCTG